GTTACTTTTCATTACATCCAAAGGTCAGACTGTTCCAGAAGCTTTGTTACACACACTCATGAATTCAAAGCACGATTTTCTTTTCTTTTTTTTTTTTAAATCTGCATCATGCTTCTACTATTTTCCTTCTAATCAACTTCTGCTATTTTCAGAAAAACTATCAAATGGAATATAGAAATATCTAACAAGTTCAGTAAACTGTAAAGCATTTTCTAGTGGCACGTAGGAAGCTGTATGGCAGGATAGACAGCTGGGCTAAAATAGAATTATTTTCTGCCTTTCACATCAATTAACTTTAAACAACAGTTTTTAGGCTTGACAGATGCTTCCATATGACTCATCTTGATTTCTTAACTGATATTAGGAATCAAACCAGAGAAGCTGATAGTCCAAATACAGTAATTGGTAATGTGGAGATAGATGGCATGCAGAAAACTCTATTTCGAAATAAGATCAGGCTAAAAAATAAAAACAAACTGTTACTTTTTGGCCACCTTTAGCAGCTTTCCTCAGGCATCTGCTCCTTTTATCTCAGTAGAATTTCTGTATCTATCCATTCTCTCTTTGCTTTAATTTCTATTATTTTGCTCTTGGTGTATTTGAGGCTCTCAGTGCAGCCTTCCTCCATCACTCCTCCCAGCAGACACTTGCTGGATTCTTGCTGGTACAAAGCTTAGCTTTAATTAGAATTGGATGAAAAAGCCCACCAACAAAAAACACCCCAAGCCAAACTACCTGTTTCCACCTAAACACAACTCAGGCAAAAAAAACACCCATCTCCCAAAACCTCTTCTCTAAGGCTCCTCTTGCTTTTGCTGTCCAAAAAGAATCAATTATAAACCTGAGCCCAAACACTTCACAGTTTCCTCTGGTCTACCTCATCAGACTCTCTTTCCAATTTCATTTGCAGCTGAATTTTCGTGGTTTGCTGGTAGAGGATCAGGAGACAAGACATCACTTGGGAATTTTCATGTCCAGACAGCAGGGCAGATTCTGCTGATTTCATCCAGAAAGATTGTTTTAGTGCTATTATTATTTTTTTCAACTTTTAATAGTGAAGAAAATTATACTGTAATAAAACAGCTAGGTAGCTGTAGCATCCAAGTGATCTTGCAAGGAGTTAAAATACTGTTAAATTTTAGACACAGAACTACACAGGAATGAGGACACAGACATTCCCAAGGTCACATATCCAGTCACTCTTTTTGGTTGTAGCTTGCTTTGCATTTTTGTTTTAATGATTCTTCTGTAGAACTCTTCAACATCAAAAGAGCACTTTCAATGTGGCATCAGATGAGAATTTTCTTTCCAGGGGACACAGCTCTACCTTTCCTCTATAAGAAACTATTGCAGAGCCAGTTCCTTTCCTTCTCCCTGTGGTGTCAGATGCAAACAGATAATGGAAACTCCCTTGAACTTCCCAAAGACAAAGTTTATCTGTGGTTACAGTGGTAAATGACCAGCTCACATTTTTGTGTTAAGGTTTTCTTGCTTATTTCCTTAGCGTGTTTTCAGTAATTCCCTACAACTGGTATTTATTAAGTAGCACACAAATGTACTGAAGGGTTCCAAGGATGTCCAAAGTACATCAGAGATGGATCAGGCAAGGACAGGTCCAGGCAGCCACACGTGACACATTTCCAGCTCCAAAACCATCCCCAAAAGACTGCCAGAGGCCAGGCCAGCAACTGCAGAACTCCGTGTCTCAACACCATTCAAAATAAAATCCTCTCCCCAGAGCAACCACTAGAATCATTGATGACTTTTTCAGACATGGAGAGCACTGCAAAACCTCCTGCCCACCCTCCTCCACAGAAGCTCTCCCTGGAGTTTTGGATTTGTCAGCCTTTCACTCATCGTTAGATCACATGAGAAAAATGCAGAAATCACAGTAAAACCCTCATGTGTGCACATGGATAAGGAATTGGTTCAGCTGCATTTCCTTTGTCCTTGTTCCATGCTGCTGGCCATTTATGAGACAGGAAAATACAGATATCTCTGCTGTCATCCAGCACAGTGACTGATGCTGGAAAACCAAGCCAAAGCTGTACTGGGAGATGCCTGGGAACATGCTTGTCCTGTATTTGAATTACACTGTTTGCACATGGATTCTCCATCTCCTCCTCCTTCCTCACACTGATTATCTAACCAGCCACTGTTACACAGCTCAGAAGAGAAATGCTGCTATCTCCTTATGAGCCCTGATCTTATAAATGAGAGGATAAAGAAACAAAAATCCCAACCCAGCTGTAATTTTCTACATGATGTGGCAATTCTGAATCACAAACATCATGCTACTGAAGGATGCACAGGAATATCCAGGAAGGCTAAAAATGATGCACTGACTCCAAACTCCCTTTTTGAAGTTACAACCATGTTATAATCGTGAATAATTAGGTCACTCTGGGCTTTCCCCAATATGACTCTGTCCCGAATAGATGGGTTTAATTCATGTTCAGTCCATTCAGGTTGAAAACAAAAATGTTTCAGAGCCATTTCAAGGCAGCTATTGCTCATGAATCCATGTTCTTTGAACTACTGTCCCAGTGAACACAGCACAAAGTGACACATTCAGCCACTTCATGTTTTGCCAACCCACAAGAAGGAAGAGAAGAAGGCTTCGTTGCAGATAGAGCAAGAGCTATATAATTGCTGAAGAAATTAAGAATAATTACAAGTGGTTTGCCTGATAATTACCTGTCATTATGTTTTTCTGTAGCATAGAGGGTAGACACAACTACAAGAAAGAAAAGGAATGATGATGTTTTTTTGGAATAGCAGAGATGCACAGTATGTGGCTACATGGTAATCCTGACTGGCACAGAGACTGGCAGCTTCCCTGTCCCCTCAGAGCATGGAAGGATGATACCAGAGGCAATGCATTCCATGGAATTCCACCTGATTCCATCCTCAGCTTCAGCACAGAATCATCATACCCCCTCAGCCAGGCAATCTTCCCATGCCTTAGTTTTTCCATTTGTAAAAATGGGATAATAATTGCTTGCTATATAGGGTATTTACAAAGATGGACTCATTCATTTGCCTTGGAAAGGAACCCCACAGGAAAAAAAAAAGCAAAAATTAGATAAATCAACATCTGTCACACCGCACGCAAGCGAGCAGCCTCACAGATTGCCACATGCTGGGATGTTTCCCTGACTCCCGTTTTCCATCCATCACAGTGCAGAGAAATAATTGAGATCTGGAAGCTATCCCTTAAGGAGATATTTATCTCCCATTAAAGAGCAAAATAGCTCACTTGAAGTTCATAAAGTGGCAACTTCTGAGCGTTTATGAGCAACAGCATGAACTTCTGACAGAAAGGACTCTTTGCAAAGATGAGGAGGTAACTCCAAAGCTGCAGGAGAAACCAGAGGACTTCTGCATTTTAAAAATATTCATAACGAACAGGAACAGAACAGACCTAAGCAACAATTTGCAGCTGTGACTGGGGGCCACCGATGGACTGAATGACCTACCTTGGTGGGCTACACAATGAAATTAAATTGGTTTAAAACTGCACAAGAAAGGGAAGGGGTAGCACATTGCCATGTGCATGTTAGGAGGAGGAATTTTTGTGGTAGTTACAGAAATTGTGCAGAAAAAACACTGAGCAAATCAGGTATCCTCTCTCCTGACAGGGTTACAGGGGCAACAAACACTTTAATTTAGAAGAAAATATGCAAACCAGAAAGGATCAGTAGGGGATTTCTAGAACTGTACAGAAAAGAAAAAGGTAGAGAATCTGTGTTTTCAAACCAGTTCTACCACTAATCCTTTACTGCTACACACACAGGACTTAATTAACATCTCTACAACTTTGCCATATTACCCGCTCTATAAATGCTGTTATTATTACAATTGTTTCTATGACCAATGTTCATCCCCAGTGCAATTTTAAAAACAACAGAGGTGCTGTAATGAAAGGGTCCTGCTGAGAACCTGACCAGCTGTGGCTGTAAGAGGTACCTGCTGGAGTGCCCCCAGTGCTGTCCCTGCTCCCACAGACATGAGCTGCCAAAGCTCCTGGCTCAGCAATCCATTCCTTCTGCCCTTCCTTGACTGGACTGTGTGCACATGCAGCAGCACAGGAAACCCTGCTTGTGCTCCTGCTTCATTTCACTGTCGGGAAACAACCCTAAATTGCCAGAGGAAAAAGCAGGAACAGAAACAGCTTCACCCCTTCTGTCACTAAATCAACGTAGCTGAGCAAGACAAAAATACAGTAGCCAGCTCTAGTGAGGGGAATTTCTTTCTGTGGTTGTAATGGCTTTTAGACCATCCTCAGCCCATTTTCAGCTAACACAGCCGTCTTTACCCTATTTTCGGTTAATTCAATTTAGTTTTACATTGGGATGCTATGAAAAAAGTGTTGTTGAGCAAATCAGGTTCATTCACTCTACAAATACATTACTGGCCCAAGAATTCTTCTAGAGATAATACAGCTTCCATCATAAAAGAAATAAAAGATAATAAAATACTTACAGTAAAAGCTTGTCCGTTTTTCTGCGTTAAAAAGAAAAGTATCTCCCACTAGCTTCTGACAGCATGTGCAAGCCAGACTGAAAATTCAGGGCTTGAGTGCTTCCCTGAGAGGAAAACCACATTGCAGAGAGACACAGAGAGCTGCTTGAGAAATGATTCACACACGGAAGCAAGCTGGCTCCACCGGCGCCTCGGCATTCAGCACACACACAGCACTCGCTTACTCAGGGGAATGACAAATATTATATTTTCATCAAAGCAAGGAGGATTTATGCAAGAAAGCAATTTGTAGCCTAGGTCAAAAACAGTGAGATGCTTCAATCCTTAAAGCAGATGAAGAGTTTCTTTCAGGGTCCCATCATCCCCAACTGCAGGACTGGACACTGGGCAGAGCATAAACCACAAACTGGTCTGGATGATCCAATTAAGCAATAACATGCAGCACAAACCACAGAGAAAGGGCAAGGAGGTGGCATAGAAAAAGGCATTTTCAGAGGAAAACACAGAAGCAGCTTTCAGAATCCTTTCTATTCCACAATAATACATCGCCCAGAGTGCCAGCAATCACAGCCAGGACACCTTATGACACTTCCCTTGCCTCCATCATTGCTTCAAAAAGTAGAAATGTGGGTGTAGGGAAGGAAGGTGCACCAAGACAGAAGCCTTTACAAAATGAACCAGAATCAGTTCTGGGTGACTTGAGCTGCCCAAGAGGGTCAATCTGTTCTTTATTTAGAAAAGAGCAAATAAAGGACAAGAGCGAACAAATGCTTGAGAATGTTCCTCTTCCTTAAGATTTTTGAAAAGAATTTCATGATTGAAAACAGGAAGAACAAGGCCAGAGGTCTTAACAGAGTTAAAGCAAGCAGAGATAGTATCAAGTTGAAGGAGACAGAGGAGATGAAAAAGACATCAAATCCAAATTTCAAACATAAAACTAACATGTTTTAAACAGAGCTTTTTGTCCAATTCTGTCTAGAGAGGATCTAATCACTCTCTGGTGTCTCTGACCAAAGAATTCCTACATACCAGGAATTCTCCCTCTCAACAGTGTGAACCAGGTATTTAAGTAATGTTGATACTACAGCAGATGTTTCCAGTAGATGCTGATGAATCTGAATAGCCCAACCTTATTGCACCCTCCTTACTCGAGGTGCCAAAGGGGCCTGAAGGAAGCTGATGCTATGCCAAGAGTTAATTTATGTTGTAGCTCAGTGTTGGCAGCACTACTGTTATCACAGAGCAACCAAACCTACAAATCAGATCGAGTCCAAGCCAAATCAACTCTGAAGATTATGGATTTGGGATCCAACTTTCTGATATTCTTAAGAGTAATGAGATTTTATCTTAAAATGCCAGAACAAGACAAAAGAGCAAACCATTACTTATTTGGCACAGGATAAAGCACTGTGTTTAGCAGGTCTCAAGCAGATACTATTAGTTTTAAGTCCCCAGATTCAGTCAGGTGCTATTCCAACTTTGCCAAGATGCACAATGTACCAATCCTTCTATTCAGCCCATTCTGACATTTTCTTCAATATCCAAGGTCAGGATGTGTGACCACTGGGAGAACTTACCCATTCAGTATTTTCACACAACATTCAGAGTTCTTGGGATTATTCACAGCTCAGATAAGGAGGAAGTTGCTGCAGATACTTGACCTGAATGCAGTGTTCCTCCTCCCTGAGGAAGTGACCCCACACATGATGCAGGCACAGGCAATGAGGTCCCTTGGATACCCAGGGGAGGGACAGCAGCTCACCCCTCTGCTCTGATCATGGACCACCTTCACAACTGAACACATGCAGCTCAAAAATAGCAGCTCAGGGCAAACAGCTGAAGGAACCTGGACCCTGAGCTGATAAATGAGAGGGACATCAGGTGCAGACACCTTGCTGAGAAGACTCTTTGGCTGAAGAAACCCAGCCCTTTTTGGAGAGCAGCGTTCTGCCCCTCTGCCACTGCTGGTGAGTTTGTTTGGGCTCAGAGGGATAGCAGTGTTGGCAGCTTGATAGGTTTTCCTATCCTCCAGCCAAGAGAAATAAAGAACTGAGATGAGGGAGTGGAAAGGCAAGATGAGCTCCTGTATTGCACTCTCGAATATCTTTGGGATACATTTGATAAATATAACTTGACCAAAACCTAAAAATGAAATGCTGGGCTGTAAGGAGACAGTCACAACATTTACATACTTCAGCTTGGGGAGACAGCCTGGAATAGGGGTGAAGAATTTCCCCAAACCAAGGAGACCAGACAGAATATTTGTTTATTTAGAGGTTTTCTGGTAGCCCTTATGGCTATAATTACCTGATCTCTTTACTTAGACCAAAGTGTTATTCAGCATAAAACTGTCCCAATTGATACATTGCCTTTCTGTTTAATGAAAAAAACAGCCCAGAAACAAACAGCTCAAATGAGTTGGCCAGGCTGAAAGAAAACCAGGGCCTTAACCATAATTACTTTCACACAGCCAGGGTGAGAAAACAATTTCAAGTAGCAATATAAACTTTTTTCAAGTATCTGCCAGGTTCTCACCCAGCTGGTAAAATTGGTTGACAGACAAAATAACAGTGAACATATTGCCTGCATTCTGCTCAATGCACTTGCTCCCAAAACTTCCCTACAAGGTATGACAGAATAAGATCAAACCTCACCATTAATACACCTTTAAAATAGTGCATTTGAGGAATTTAAAGGCTTTATGCTGCAAACTGCATTAATGGCACAATTCCACAAGAACAAGTATGGGTGAGAATTTAATGAAATGGGCAATGGGCAGAATTTTGGGTGGCACAGCTCATTTGAGAAGCAAATGCATAGTGTGGAAAAAAGGCTCACACAAGGAACAAAGTTTAAAATATCTTTGCATTTACAGATATTTATGCCATATTTAACTGCTTTTGTGCATGAAACAATCTTAATTACAAAGGAGAGAAATTCCATAAACAAGGCTATTATGTCAATAACAATGTCTTTTTAAAGCAAGTCTCTAATTCAACTGTAAGGCTCGGGACATTGCTGTCTGGAGTTGGAAAACCAAAAGCAATTACAAAGGCAAGCCTGCATCAGACAGGGGATATTAGTGGAGTCAGGCCATGGCTTTGGGACAGAATTTACTCTGTGCTTTTTCCCTTTTGGACATAACTGATCCAAACTTCTTTATTTTCTCAGTTGCAGTGCAGATGTCAGGAAGTTCACGCTGCTGGTGGACGTTTGCAGAGTGAATCATGGGGCACCACTTTCCATTTTGACAAAAACAACTGCTGCTCAGTCAACAAGATGCTGCTGATGAAATGGGTGGATAGAACTCCTGTAACTGCTGCCAAAAAGGCTCCACCAGCACAAGCAAGCTGTGTGAGCTGCCTTGGAGAACTGGGATTTATTTTTCCCTTCCTATTCTTAAGAGACTACTCACCTAAGGGGCTCAGCCCATGGCTACCAGCTTTGACCTGCAAGTGGAGAAAATGCTTGTTGCTGGAAGAGACTAGAATAATTAAATTGGGGTGAACAAAAGGCAGATAATGTTTTATGGAACATGGAGTGCTATAGGAGACAAGAAAAACAGCTTCCTCTGGTGCCTATTGCCAAAATTTCAGAGGACCAGACAACAACTTGAGAATTTCCAAGGGAACAGCCACTGAGTCAGTCAAAAATAGAACTAGGAAACTGCCTGTTTCAAAAGTATCTCTGTAAGATGTGCCAGCATTTTTCAGTATTTCTGTAATTTCCGAGTAGAACACTCAAGAGTTAACACACATATATCTACCCCCCCCAAAAAAAAAGCCAACCCACAGAAAAAGACAAAATGAGAAAGGAAATCTATGTAGCAAAGAAACACTCATCATATTTCATATACTTAAAATAAAAATCACTGATCACTTTTGCACACATTTATGCAAAGTTTATTATTCTTTGCAATTTTCAAACATCTCTACTTCCTTAGGCATCATCAACAACCAAGGACAGCTTTCCTGCAGTCACCCTGTTATTCAAAATGTGGATAAATCTAAACATGCAAAAATAGGCAATACTGCATGCTCTTCCCTGAAAGAGGATGGTAAGACTTATACTGTTCTTTTTTTTTTTATTTCAATGATTAAAAGCAAGAAAGGCTTAAGGGAAAGGGAGTAACTTTCTATTTTATTATTCCTCGCTGTTAGTTTTCTGCTATATAGGTTATAATGTGGCACTCATTAACAATTCATAGAAAATTACCATATTCAAGTAGCACAGCAAGTTTTTACTACCTACCCAGGCAAAATCCTGCATAACCCTACTTGCTCCCTTTACATATTGTCCCAGAGGGATCTCATGCTGGAAAAGCTGGCATTTTATCACCTAACGGGAGAGGAATTCCAACAGGTTGGAAACTCCAAGGAGCCCGGAACAGAAAAACATTCCATTAAATCACAGACAATGCAGAGCTGCTCAGCAAAATGAAGCTCTGGAGATGTGTGCTGGAGGCTGCCTCGGAATTAAAAACCCCGATGGGATTCTGGAGCAATGTCCCACTGCTTTGAACTTCTCGGTGCGTTTTAGAGGGATGCAAATGCAAGACCAGAGGTATCGGCTTTGTCTCGGAGGGATTCACGCTGCATCTTTTACAGACCCTCGATCAGAATCAGTTGATCATTGCAGTAGCTTAACTCATCTATTTTACAAGTCAGGAAATGAAAGCACCTAAATGACTGAATAAATATCACAAATTAGCAAGGGTCTACAGTGCTCATCAATTTTAACTCCCATATAAATCAGCAGCTTTGACAGACATGCACACTAGACAGAGTGTGCCCACACTATGCAGAGGCACCCAGAAATTCAGCATAGAAATTTGGCTTTGATGATGTAATCAAATTCAGGAAAAAAAAGGGAGAATCTAAATTAAAGTTCAACAATTCCTTTCTTCTAGACAGCTTGTAGGAACAAACATGTTTGCTGCTGCTTAAACTTTTAAATCAGCTTAGCAGACTTGAGAAATTGAATCAAGAAGCTGAAATTTGAAGTGCCTAAACACCGAGACCTTCCCAGCGTTAACCACATTGCTACAGAAGAACCATTAAGAAATAAGTAGTGGTATAATGCAGGCAAATTCCAGTCTGAGACCGAGGTTCTGTTTTCAAGACTTATGAAATTATTTCCTTGGATCTCTTGGTTGGCGATCATAATCATAAACTCTGGGTGCAAATCTGGCACTCAAGAAACCTTATAACTAAAATGAATTGGAAGCATCCTTAAGCTCAGCAAAAAAGATCTTGGCACGTGGCTCACGTTGCCTGTGGGGCAGGTAAGGACAAATATCAACACCTCACCAGCATGAGCTCACCCTGCAGGCACAATCTTCCCATGAACGTGCTCAGTGCCACTCGTGCTGCCTCTGCTGTGCCACTTGTCCCCCACACACAGAGTGGATGCAAACTGCTCCTCTCCTCAAGGTCTCATTTTCTGGAAACAGCTCACTGCCAGAGCAGAACCTCCCTTACCAAAAGACCTAAATGCCCAGAAGCAGGAGGCACAGGCAATGAACTGGGAAAGCAGCAAGAATAGGTGCTCAGTTTTCCATGCTCCTATAAAAGCAAGTGATAATTTAAAATCTCCAGCAGATACTATAGTAGGAGGGCAATGAAGCAAGAGAACAGATTGCATGAAAAGGAAAAAGTGCCCTATGGAGTTTGTGACCTGTTTACCATAAGTAAATAAATAAATGAAAGCAAAACAACCCCCTGAGGTGACAGTTTGCATGAGGGACATTAGTGACTCTGTCATGTAGAAGCCTATAGAAACAACTGCCATTACAGAACAAAGGATTGATTGGCCACACAACAGGAACTCGGGAGAGAAAGCAGATGTGAAAGAAGGGAAGAGGAAGATTTGGAAATGAGGACAGCAGGGAAGTCACTCTGAATATTGCCCAACTAACACCACTGCCCTGGTACACAGCAGCTGAAGGCAAAGAGGAAAATGGAGCAGTTTGAGAACACCATGAAATGAAGAGAGAACACACAAGCCAGGTCAATTCTTTCTACCCCACAATGAATCACTCAACAACTCTTTCTGCTCCTGTGGCAGGTGAACCATCACAATTTTGCCTCCTTTGTTAGGGTTATTTAGTTCACTTGCTGACAGCATTGAAAGAGTGCTGGCTCAGCCAGAGGGAGTGACAGCTTCGATTCCTGCAGGAGCTGCTGTCCAAGGAATCAGCCTGGGCTGTCCCTGCCTGTGGAACTGTCCTCTATTCCCTGATCTGGAGACAGGGTCCAGAATAAACCTTATCCCTTTCAGTTCCACTGCTATCAAAAATCAGGAATGTGTTATTTTGTCCTCTTTGATCTCACTCAAACCATGAAAACAACAGCCTAAGCATTTTGCCTTGCTGTGTCTTGGGGAGCTGGAAACCTTTTACCAGCAAGAAATTCTTACAGCAGTTACCATGGCGACTCTGGTAATAGATATTTAAAGGCAGTTCACTCATAATCACATTCATTAGATATCAGGAGGCTTTAGTAAGAGAGGCACAAAAAGCTTGAAACCAGGGAGCCTTCCAGGCTTGGTGATGGTATAAGAAATTTATAGGGAGGGATCTGCTTATCCCATCATTTAGCTGGACACAAAGGGCTCCTGTTCAAACATGGAATGGCACTGAAGCTTGCAGAATAAACTATTTTTAGTTTGTCAATTTAAAAATTGGTTCTGAAAGCCTCATTTCAATCGTGGTACTTCAATAAATCCTTTCAGAGTGGCCATTGCCAGAAATATAAGAAATAGCTGTGCCACAGCTCCATCCCCCATTAGAGCCAGGCTGCTGGGAATCTCCTGGTCTGCCATCACCTGGAAACTCAAATCTGGATAAAGCTCTGAGTTGAAGAGGTATGTTTGGTTATACAAACGTTAAATAATTTATTTCTTTAGGTTTGAGTCCACAGCTTTCCAATCCACTAGAACACAGCCATGAGAATCTGCAGAAGCAGATCTCCAGATAGGGAGCCACTTCACCAGGCTGCCTAAACCTGTGTTACAGTCATCAAACTGAGATTTCCTTTCTCTTTTTGCTGCATATTTCCATGACAACTTTCCTGCAGTATCAACTTCTTTCTATTGGAAAGGTTTCTCAAAGAGAATTTAGGCTTCTATAGCAACAGCTGAAAGCCCTGGGAGATGATGATGCCTGAAACTTTTTTTTAGACCACACAAGTGTGTTTTAAATTTTATAGATGAAAACAAAAATATATGTAATATTGGGTAAACTGTGAAGAGAAGAAGTACCTTGCTGAAGTGGAACAAACACAAAGAAACCACCTACTTTCAAAAGGGATGCAGACTTTGAGATCTAAAACGCTGGGAGAGAGCAGACAGGATCAAACACTCATCTTGAAAAGCCACATCCTGTTCCTTCTCTCTGAGTTACAAAGCACAGTCACAAGGAACGAGTCTGCTGATCCTAAAAAGAGATTTTAGCCCAAGATCTCTCTCTGCATCCTATTTTATATTGCCTTAAAGCAAAAAAAAAGAAAAAAAAATTGGAAAATCAGTGAGTCAGGATTCCTTTTGAGTTTTAACTCCAATACACCTGCCACCTACCTATAACCTAACCTTTTTCTTAGTACTTTAGCAGTTTGCCATGGTAGTGACACAGTATTCTCCAATACTGAAAGCTTTAGAAGAAAAAAAAACTTTGAAAGAAAAAAAAAAAAAAAAAAAAAAAAGCCCAGCTGCACTCTGAACCAAATAAATTTGCTAAACTCAAAAGCCAAGGAAGGTATAGAAGCTGAAGCAGATGTATTTCACAAAGCACTTCACTTCTCCAGTACACTTCCAAACTTCAAGTTTTTTAAAGAAGAAAAAAAAAGACAAAACATCACATTCACAAGGTCAGTGAGAAGTAGGAAAGGATGAAATTTAATGTATAGATGAGAATGCCAAAGGGTGGAAATGAAGCCCAGCAGGTCCCAGCACCTTCCCTTTTACAGCCACTGGAAACCTCTTTGTACACAACAAGTGAGATAGCAGTGTGAGCACCTCAAAGAAGCCCCACTTTTCTGCTTGTAGTAATTAAAAGTTTTTCCTTTTTTCATTAAAGTACCCATTAATTTATGTCCTCTTCTTCTCATTCACCCCTACATCATGACAGTTCTGATAAGGATAAAAAAGTGCCCACAGGTAAAAATGAGTGAAAAAGAATGCATTTGATCTAATTCTGGTTGACTTCCACCTTCAGTCACTTCTTGACCAGCTGAATAACTTCAGAAAACACTCTGGAACTGGCAGTTTGGCAAAATAAAAGTTGGGGACTGTAAAAACTTATTTTTATTTTTTTAATAGCACTGTTAGAGTCTATTCAAAACCTGGGAACCCTGCAACCAAGACATATGCAAAACCAGGATTTCTGACAAACCCCTCATTATTTCCAAGATTTATCCTGTCTGGAGAAGACTGAAGCGTGGGAGTCACTGAGTCACTGCAAAGGTCAAGTGAAACGCAATTATTCAGTGTCTCCGTGTGCTGCCCTCTGCTGAAACAGGCACCGAGCTCCTTGGAGCAGCACAAAAACTCGGGATCATCTGTGCCCGCTGCTGCCGTCACACTTGCCCGAATTCAAAATGTTTCATTTCGTGGGACTAGGCAAGGTTAAAAATAACCTGAGCTCTTGCACCGGACTGAAGAGCTCCAGGGTGAAAGAGTGGCTTAGGGACAGCAGACAGGGAGAAGGAAGAGGGTTGGATGCACCATCACCCTGCAGTGATGGAGGTTCACAGGCTTGGAGAAAAGAACCAGCTGAAAGTTTCATTTGAACAACTTGTTTATCAAAGATGTTGAACTCTCATATTGCCTCTCAAATCCTTAATCCTCCATCTGATTTCACCCACATGAAAAAATCTGTTCAGGCAGATGAGATTATTCAAATATTCAAGCACCAGAATTTGTTCGTGTGTAGAACAGAATGGGAAGAGGAGAAAACGATTAAATATCTAAGGGAAAAAATAACATCTAATTACACATTAATATCCATAAATAAGTATATTTTATAGAATCATATTTACAAAATTCTTACTTAAATATTTTATTTACAAACAAATAGTAACCCAGCATTTTCTCCAAAACTCAGGGAAAGGGCAAAGATAGTCAAAGCAATGTTTCAACTACACATATAAACTCTCAGTGATGAAATTCCCAATCCAACATATATGTTTTTTTCCCTTTAGGCCTTTGGAAATTAGGCTTTGCTGTGTGACTTCGAGATCAGCCCAGCAAGGTTATTTTGGATCAAGAAGATTGAAATGCTAAGTTGAAGGTTCCTTAGGGAGATCATCCTGCCAGCAAGCTCCCCTACCTTGTCAAGATGCTGCTGGAGTAGATTTTAACCACGTGCTTTTTCATGGGATTTGACCTCAAAAAAAAAAAAAAAAAAAAAAAAAAAAAAAGAAGAAAAGGTGGGGGGGAAAACCCCAAACAAACAAACAAAAATCCCAGACAAACAAAACCCCCCATAATTAAAAAAAACCCAAGCAAAAGAGGGAATAGCAGTGGGCAGGTGGGCCCTGCTGGTGCAGCCAGCAGAGGGCAGTGGGATTTACAGGAAAGTTGTTGAACTTCGTCTGATGAAGTATGTGAAGTGATAAAATTATCCATTTAAATTTTAATTTGAACCTACCTACAGAAAGATATAAGCAAGACAGAGAAAAATGGACCAAAATAGAAAAGAGAATTTATTACTTTAGGACCTCTAAAAAGTCGTGTTTCAGGGTATCAGGAAGACTTCATACCAATGTATCACTTACTTAATTTTTAAAGTAATTTTCAATTACTGAAATACAACGATTCCATGCATCCTATTGAATCCAAGAAAACTATTTCTCATAGATTTTAAAACCTATGGGTTCTTTAAAATAGAAAAATATCAAATGAGAAGAAAGGTATTTTTAAGGCGCGCCTATTGTTACTTTTGAAGATGAAAACTGGTTCTAGGCGGCAAGAACAAGAAAGTAAAACAGGTGAAGAAAAAAAACACAAGCAAGGCACATAAGACTTTTTTAATGCTCACTGCATCTTGCTTACCAAAAAGGAAAAACAACATTTCTCACCTTACCACCAAACAGAACAAGCTCCCCAGAGCTTGGGTTGTACCTGATTTGACACGAGCATTTTGTGATGGAACACCGTTGGTATTTTCAGAGCGCTTTTGAATACACACGTCCCGAAACAACACCGCTGCCCTACGCCACAGGAGACCGAGCTGTCCCGGGGGTGTCCCGGTGCTCCGGTGGGGCACAGCCCTTGCCAGGCTGCGGTACCCGGGGCCGTGCAGCCCCGCCGGGACCGGGGGCATGCCCCGTGCCCTCAGAGCCCCGGCGGGACCGGGGACATGCCCCGTGCCCTCAGAGCCCCGGCGGGACCGGGGACATGCCCCGTGCCCTCAGAGCCCCGGCGGGACCGGGGACATGCCCCGTGCCCTCAGAGCCCCGCGGGGTCTGCGGCAGCCCGGCTGCCCTCAGAGCCCCGGCTGCCCTCAGAGCCCCGGCGGGACCGGGGACGTGCCCCGTGCCCTCAGAGCCCCGCCGGGACCGGGGACATGCCCCGTGCCCTCAGAGCCCCGCCGGGACCGGGGACATGCCCCGTGCCCTCAGAGCCCCGCCGGGACCGGGGACATGCCCCGTGCCCTCAGAGCCCCGGCTGCCCTCAGAGCCCCGCCGGAACCGCGGGCATCCCCCGTGCCCTCAGAGCCCCGCGGGGTCTGCGGGAGCCTGGCTGCCCTCAGAGCCCCGGCTGCCCTCAGAGCCCCGGCGGGACCATACGGGCACGGCCACCCCACACCCCGCGCCGGACCTGTTGCCCTCAGACACCGCCGGCGGGGACACCGCGCCCGCTGCCCGCGCCTCAGCCACGGCGCCCCGCACTGCGGCACCTCAGTGCTCCCCCAGCACGGGGACGCCCGGCGCGATGCTGCCGGTTCTCCCCGGCCCAGCCGGTCCCCCCGCGCTGCCCTCAGCGCCCCGCGCTCACCTGCAGCCGCTGCCGCCGCCGCCGCGCTCGGGGATGCTCCGCAGCCGGAGCCCTCACCTCACCTGCACCGGCCGCACCGGCCGGCAGGGGGCTGCTGCGCGGCATGCCGGGTAATGTAGTCCCCTGCCCGCCCGGGACGGCCAATCCCCGCGGCGCGCCGCGGAACATGCCGGGAGTGGTAGTTCTTCCCGGAGGTGCCGGCGCGGGGCAGACTGGGAGGTGTAGTCCAAGCGTAGCGGTGCGCAGCGGGCTTCTCCCTGCTGCGGAACTACAATTCCCGTGCGCCCCCGCCGCGGCGGCTCTAGCGGGCCCGGACGCGGCGCCGAGGGTCTGCGAGCCCATCATGGCGGCCCCGCCGCCCTCAGCGCCGGGAGAGCCGGCACCGCCACCGCCACCGCCACCGCTGCAGTACAGCCTCCTGCTGCAGCACCTCGTGGGCGACAAGCGGCAGCCCCGCGTCTGGGACCCCGCCACCCTCGGCGGTATCCCCTGCCCGCCCAAGAGCGAGGAGCAGAAGATGGTGGAGCGGGTCATGGAGAGCTGCCCCTTCAAGGCGGCGCTGGCTTGCGTGGGAGGTGCGGCCGCTGGAAGGACGCGGCGGGCACCTGTGGGGTCGTTCGGGGGTCCCTGTGGGGTCGGGAAAGGGAAGGATGGAGAAGAGGCTGCAGTCCCCGTGTTTGATTTTCCTCCCGTGCCTGTCGCATGTCGCAGGCAGGGATCTGTGTCTGCCTTCCTTGGCGAGGTGCTCGTGGCCTCTCCTCACACAGCACGGGCTGTCACAAGTGTCCATGGCACCGAGAGATTCCTGCCCTGTCACAGTGCAGCGCTCACCCACAGCAGGAGCAGAGCCGCTTCACTCCCTGCAGGGAATGTGCTGCTCCAACCCAGCCCTATTAAATTCCTTGTTTATCTTTCACAGGATTTGTTCTGGGAGGTGCGTTCGGTATCTTCACAGCTGGCATTGACACCAACGTGGGGTTTGATCCCAAGGATCCCTATCGCACACCCACGGCCAAAGAGGTGCTCAAGGACATGGGGCAGCGAGGCATCTCCTACGCCAAGAACTTCGCCATCGTGGGTGCCATGTTCTCCTGCACAGAATGCGTGGTAGAATCTGTGAGTAAGAGCCTCCCAACCATTAAGAAATGATTTCTGGTACTCTTTAAAATTTTTTACTAGATCCAAATAAGTACATATATCCTGGAATAGGCTGCTATGTTCTTTCTTGGCCAGCAAAGCTTTTCAGCTTTGAGATCTGTCTTCAGAGCTGCTGTTCTCTGACAGAATGAAGAACACTTTTGCAATAGCAAAGTCCTTTTCAGTTTTAAGTCCTAAATGTATTGACAAGCATAGACATTACTTTTTAAAGCCTAGCTACAAGTGCTTGTGTAAAATGTCAAACTGTGAGTTGCAACATAGTAATTTGAGTGTCTAAAAATTCCATATGTAAAAAGGGATCATTTGATGCAAGTTCTTGAGTAACAGGCCAGTTTTCATCTGGCCCCTACAGTCAGAAATGACCTTTTGCAGCTCAGTGGTAAATCTATCATCTGGGCTTTTTTTTTTTAATAGGAAAATTACCCTGTTATGAATTTGAGTCCTGCCTTTTAATTGAAAGGCACAATTACTTCTTAACTCATCTAGAAGAAAACCGTATCTGCTTGCACAATGGAGCAGAACAAAGAGATCTGTGCACTGGTGAAAATCCAGCATGTCCTGGCTATGGAAATAGTCCACCTTTGTCAGCAGCTGCTGTGACTCACCTGTGCCAAGGACCAGGGCTGCTGTGATGTAGTTATTGCACTTTTAGACTCAGGGCTGTGCTCTGGGGGGCCATCCTGGCTCACCTGAGGATCTTTGCCACAGCACTGCATTGCACCATATGGATTTGTCTCACCTCTCCCAGTTACCTGCTCCTTCCTCCCTTCCCGGCCCTGCAAGTCTGGGAGTGCAGGGCCATCTGCTGAGAGCAGAGGGAAGAACATCCTCAGCTGAGAAGAGGATGGAAGGTCGTTTAACCTTGCTGCTAGCACAGATACCGAGTGTTCATTCCATATTTACTTGTTGGCTCTGATTTGTAATTCCACAGTATC